TTTTTAAATATTTTGGTGTGAGAGTTTATTAATTGGAAAAATTTTTGAACTTTGTTGTGTTTTAATTTAATACTATTAACTAAAGTCTCGCATGTGATTTGTTTTGCTTCCTTATTTGAACTTTATAACGGTATTGGATCTTGTTTGTCACTATTGAACTTGCAATTTGTTGTTTTTTTTAATTGAGATTAATTGATTGAGTTAAAGGTTTGATTTATGATTAATTTTAGATTTGAAATACGTTTTGAGTCATATTTTTTATATAAATAATAATAATTTATGTGGATAGTCATCTAATTGCCATGTGGCGGATACAGGGTGGGCAGAGCAGCAAGTTTGTCTTGGATGCCCGTTCCCCCATAGAAATGACCTGCAACACTTAGCCAAATTCTGGACAGAAAGATGAAGACGTTAAAGCAAAATGAAAGTCTACCACCTAGATCGTGCACGCCTGATAGACCGACCTTCGGCCCAACACACCCAACTATCGATTGGATTCCTTGTCGTATATCCAAATTTATGAATAGGGCACTTCACTCTTCAATCAAGTATCACATTTTAGCTCGGTATCCATACATACTAAGGTTGAACTAAATTGACTTCAACATCAGAGTACTTGTTCCATGTGTAACTTCTTCCTTACCAAGTGGCTTTCTAGCTCTTTCATGATATCCAAGCTCTTTTCCTGATATCCAAGCTCTCCCAATCAGCATACTTTGACCAACTCAACCTTGATTGACATTTGTTGCACAAACATTGTCTAAGTAGCAAGAGCTTACTACGCAAGCATTACTAGCAAAGTGAAAAAGGTTAGCATCGAGATTCAATTAGTCCAACTACTAGGTAAAATACAAGTTAGTTAAGAAGTTACTTGATAGCTCGACACAAGTGAATTGAAAAATCATTTAACTTAGGTGAGTCACACCTAATCCAAATGAGATGATAAAAAAGATACATATAGCTTAAGTGGGTTTCAAACATACTAAAGAGAAACTGGGTATAACTCGACCTTGGAGTTTGGTTTCAACGAGATTAAATTATGTATTGACTAAAGTTGTCTAGCGAATATAAAGTTATAAATAAAATCAAGAAGCTAAAAAAGTCATGAGTCATGAAGAGATCACATTAGATATCATTTAACCATCTTGTTGTGTTAAACTAAACAAAATATCGAAGAAGGCAAGAAAATTCACCTAGCAGTATGTCATCATGCTCTACACCAACTTAATGCATTATATCGACAATCTTATTACCTGACATGTCCCATCAAGTTACAAATTGTAGAACATCATTTTAATAAGTCACGCCAATATAAGATAACTATTGTCTTATCCCGAATACTTAGGTTAAAAAAGATAAAATTAATATTCAAACTGAAGCAAAAAGTTGAAACACTTAACAAATGAACAAGTTACATAGTGAAAATTGAAAATTGAAAATTTTACCAAATCATTTTCACTAATTGGAAGGGATTTTGACTGGGGTGACGGTAATTTTCCTGAGAGAGAGAAGATAAAGTCACAGGGTGTGTTGGTGATCGTTCAATGGGAGGGCTCCACATGTACGTAGCAGAACGTGGACAACACAACAGAGGGTGATGTTTTTTTCTGCGACATTTAATTAAAAAACTTTCCAGACTGTCCCCACCACGTGGACCCCATGAAACGGTCAAAATCTTACCACTTGGATCCACCTCATCTTGTCTCGTTGATTGACGTCATCATCTAAAGTTTCCGAAGGAGCGATGTTAGGGTGCAGGCACCAACACAGTAATCCTCCTGCTCCCTTCTCATGATTTGTCCATCGTCATGAAGATTGATGTGTTCTTATTACAAGATTTAAATACTATTTGAGTACTACTTTCGACTTTTTCTAATTTTATTATTTTTACTTTCAAAATATCTATTTTCAAACTTTAACCCATGGATTTAACGTTGTCCAACCCATTTTTTTTCAATTTCTTTTTTAGATTTTTTTGTTTATGCTTTTATTTTGTAGAACAATGTTTCCTTACCACCTACAACATTTTATTTAAATTATTTTTTTTATAACAAATAATATATATTATAATTTAAAAAAAATCTTATTCTCTTCATTTACATCTATCTAAATAATAATAGTTCAAAATATATATTTAATTTTCAAAAGAATATACCTAAATTAACTTTTAAAAAAAATTAAAGAAAGGTAAAGGCTATATATTCTTGAACAAATTCAACCCCACCGCTAAACTCAAAAATGAAAAAATCTTAATTATTTATTAGTAAATAGAACAAAGAGATTGAGGGCCATGGTGGTGGCTACTTTCTCATGATTTTTTTTATATATTTTTTTAACTTCTAGATCACATGATCATATATTAACAAATTAAGACAAATTGTTAATATTTCAATAATCAGTCAAGATGGAGCAATTTATTACTTAAAAATTATTTGTCTTTGTACTGAGGCTAAAACAATAATTGCATAAAAACAAATCAATCATACCGCTTATGCTTCAGTCTAAACATCCCAAATATTCATCTTTTTCCCCCCTTTTTTGTTTTTGGAGAATATCTACCACCATTTCCAATAGATTTCACAGATTCAAACTATTCCATATATAAAACTTGAGAAACGCTACTTGAAAAAATGACCATTTTATATATAGGCGCATTGGTCTAGTTAAGACTCATCCATGTTGTACTCTACTAACCTCGACCGTCGAATAATTTCTCAAATGAAATGTGTCCTTTTTTCCCATTCTATGCTCTCGATCTCTGAATCCCGATCCACCTTGCGTAATCCACCCACCTGAGATAAGTTCACATAAGCTTTTTTTTTTTTTTTTNTAAAAAAAGAGGGATTAAAAAAGAATACAATCAGGTTCGAGGGATTTCAGGCTGAAGAAATCTCACATCAATGACCCCAAGAAAGTGTTGCCAGTTCGAATGACAAAACAGATTGCACTCAGAGCCAACTTTTGTTTGTGCAATAAGGGCTCTAGAATCCTTTGCTCAATTACTCCTGCAAGTACTTGGTATCTAAACAAACAATAGAAACACACTTTTTTTAGTACATTATAACTTCTGTATTATGTAATTTAAATAAGTATCAAGAAGGATCTGTGTTAGCAGATATTAGAGGGGTAAAATAGTCTTTTCTCTTGAGTTGCGAGTTTGAGGAACTTGCGTGGACATACCAGAGTTATTTTACTCGGAACTTTTTAAACAAAATGAGTAAGAAAAGAAATCCTCGAAGGCAAATACCAGCATTATATACTAAATGATTAGTATATATTATATTGATAATTGGTATATCGAGGCTTATCCCTTATATTATGCTCATGGACTACCCTACAAACTAATCTTTTAAGAGGCTTTGTCCACTTTAAAGTCAGCCTTGAGGAGACAACAAGAATTTTAATTAAGGGCTTGAACCCAAGACCTTGGAGGGTATCTCTAAACATCCTAACCCTTACTACCACTGCCACTCTTAAGGAATAAATTTACATCGCTCTATTCGTTTACCCTTTTAAATTGTAAAACATTATTTCCTCAATTTATCTTAATACTCCTATGTGTGTTGTATCTCATTAAGCAAACTAATTTTCGAGCTTACCCATAATAGGGAAAGATGAAATTAAATCTACTTAACAAACTTTTGGGTCTATTGGTGGTCTAACACACAATAATATTATCAAATACATGTGGCTATTGAGCATAATTTTTTTTTTTGGGATATCCGTGAGTGTCTGGGTCAGCTAGTGCGCACCTCGACTAATCTCACGGGACAACCGTCTGACCCTATAACATTTGGTGTCAGGAAACACATAAGAATTACTAATTTCTAGGTAGGTGGCCATCATGAGATTTGAGCGCATTGCCTCTCAATTAACTTTAGCCCCTTTGGAGCAATGAGCAGAAATTTTAAATAACCAATAAAGTGTAATAACCATATTATAAAGGAAACAAATGCTACACATTGAAGTGAAAAGTGCAGTACCTTAGATTGCTAGAAACTGCCATATAAACCCCATAGGCAATGCTTGTTGCAACTACAGGCAAATCCTCTGCTTCCACGGCATATGATTTGTCAACCATCTTCCTCATATTTATCAAGGCGTTCGTTACACCCGTGCCCACCTGAAATACATAGTCCATAAGGTCTACATTTCCATCCATAATTTGATCTGTCGAGTGATATCTTCAATATCATAGGAGCACCAAGTAACTTTACATGATTTCTTGTGAACTCATAAATTATTTCATTACTATTTTATTTATAGAAACACACAGTCGGAAGTACAAAAACAACAATGAATGTGAGCATATAACATAAAAATTATAGGTACCGACATCGAAATTCCAATCTTCCTATACTATAACAGAAATTACAATCCCCTTTTCATTATTTTGTTAACTAAACTAGTTTATTTATATTTTAAATGTTTTATTTTATTAGTATCTTTTATTTGGTCAAATAAGTGGTTAGATTGACAAATGCACTTATAAATTATTTCTTTACTTTTTCATTTTTAGAGATACAAAGTTCAGAATAAGAACAAAAACAACAACGAATATATGCATGCTGTATAAAAGTATAGGTAAGGATATTGGACTCCCACTCTTCCAATACAAACATAAATGTTCAGAAACCAGAATCGTCTATACGATCCAAAGTTTTTATCATCGAGCGAGATTCCAAATGACAGCAGCGGCCCACTGGGTATGTTTAAGAGGCAAAAGAATTGCTTAAACCAAGCCAAAGGCACAACAAATCAGGGGAAGGAACTGGCTTACCAGAGAAGCAGTAGTCCCTACACCGAATAGCTTGGCCCCATTACGCTGTGCATAATAACATATGTATTCACATTAAGTGGAAAAAATAAAAAATAAAAAATAAAAAAGCATTCAAATTGCTCGATAAATTCAGCTCAAACACACGACACATACCACTACTGCACCAACTCTCTGAAGAAATGAATACGAGGTACCCGCCAAAGCCACCTGCAGAACAAGAATTTTCACTTGGGAATTTTATCGAACACCTGGTGTTCATTGCTATGCTTGAAAACTCAGAGACCAAAATGCCCATATGAAGAATCAAAATAATAAAAAATCTTGACATGGGTATTCATGTTGAGAGTAGAATGTACATTATACAAGTGAAAATTTGGGAAAAAAAGACTGCAGACGAGTTTTCAATGGTTATTTGGATTAAAGGGGGAGTGTTACCTGGAAGGCGTTTTCAGGGCAGCCATAGAAGAACTTGGCGAGAGGTCCAGCGCTGATTGCTAGAGGAGGTTTGAGAGAGACGGTGGGAGCAGGAAGCCAAACAAGCATGAAATCTGCTATAATGGCCATTATCTGTTTTCATTTTAAGGAAAACTAAAACTTAATTTGGTAATCATTTCTGATTTCTGGCTCTTCATTCTTTTTTGTTAATTGAACAAAGAAACAAGACGAAATTCTTAAGTTACAAAATTACTTTAAGTTTAATTTTTAAATATAGAATCTTGAAAATTTATTAAGTTTATTTTACTTGTTGATATTTATCATGTTATTTATACATCGGAACAGTGATAAAGTCCTTTAAATAATAATAATAATAATAATGATAAAGTAAGAGTTTAATTAGTATCTTTTGAAATTTTTTTGAACTATGTTCAGAATCAACACTTAAATTATTTAAAAATATTACTATGATTGTCTATCAACATTTATTCCAGTCAAGGAAAATAAAAAAAGTCAACATTTATCACATAAACGCTTATTATCATTATCAATGATTTTTTTTGAAAAACTAATAATATCTTTACAATTATTATTTAACTAATGCATACTTTTAAATACTTAACAAAGCAAGAGAGGGACTTTCACCCTCTTTGAAGAAAACCACACTCATAATTTTTTTTTCCCGTAATTTGGATTAGAAAGCTAAATGTTGTATCTTATAAATTATTAAATTTACCCTTATAAATTATTAAATTTACCCTTAATCCTTTTTTTGGGAACAAATTTATCCTTCATCCATTAGTTTAACTTTTTAGATTCATTTGTAATTTGATCATATTTAAAATGATATCAAAATAAGAGACCATGTGTTCAGACCAACCTTGAATTCATGATTTAATCACGTTTGAAACTAAATTAAAATTACTATAAAACTAAAATTATTCTTACATAATATATTTTTGTTGTTAGTTTTTTTTTTTATAAATTCATGGACTAAAATAGTACTTAAAACCAAGGTTTTAAATGTTGATATCGATGAAAATGTTGAGGTTTCAATTTTATAAAAATATCGATAAAATGTCAATATCGATTGATATTTCTATAAAAATTAGAAAAATAAAAAAAACATAAAAAAAATATTTAAATTAACAAATAAACATTTTCCTGTTTCTAAATTAATTAAAAATAATTCATATTAATATTAAATATATATTAGTGACATTTTATTGATATTTTTCATATTTTATCGATTTTTTTATTATAATAAAAATCTCGGTTCATGTCAATATTGAACTTATGAAAATATGGATATGTCCATAGATATGACTTAGGATATTTAAAATTATACTTAAAACTCGTTTGGTTTACTAACTTTAGATGGGAGCACATACCACGTCAGCACAGACAAAATCCAGCTCCTTGCTAAAGTTCTCCTTGCGTTTCTCCAACTCAGCAGCAGTCTTGAGGGGAAAAAAAAGACAACCATATTAATTGTGATATATTATAAATTAATACAATATCTTTTTGTGTAAAAGTTTTGAATAGTTTTTGCCTAAATATATGTTTTCTTTTCTTTTTTAGAACTTTATTTGAACAAGTGATGAGATTAATATCTCTTAAAAAAATACTGCTTAAATAATATAAAATAAAAGGTAAAAAACAATAAATCATATAAAATTCAATCAATAAAATACTTCAAATCATATTATTCAAATTTAGCAATTTGATTGATGAATTTCATTGTTAATGTCAATAGAATGAAAAAAGAAAAATTATAATTGAGGATATTATTCCACTGCTTATTCATGTCAGTCCATAGATTTATGAGGTAAAATTTACCGTATTGATTGAAATGAAAATACTTCATATTTTAGTTTAAGAGAAATTTCGATTATTTTTAAAAACGTAAAACTTTTTTGTCGAAATAAAATATGAAATTTCTTAGTATGTTTATCTTAAAGTTTAAATTATATTTGGATTATATTATTTTTCTAAAATTTTGAATGTAAATACCTCTTTAATTTAATTGTTTTTTTTAAATTACATTACATAGTAGAGAAAGGTTTCGATCTAATCAATAACTCACTGTACACCAATTTAAATTATTTTGTTCATATATTATTCTCTTTACACTAATAGAGGTTAACCACCTAGTTACATTATCAAATTGAATATTTGATTGTTATAATTTGAGTTTATTTAAACATAAAATTTTATTAATTTGTATAAAATTTGTGTAAATATAGATCAAATTAATAAAAAGTACCAGGTAAAAAAGAATTTTTTGAAACTATAATACAAGAATTAAAATGAAGAAAAGTTAAAAAAGAGACAAAAATAAGCCCATCGAAACTAAAATAAAAATAATTAGACTAAAATAGTATTTTAATCCAACTTTTTTTAAAAAGAATTAAGGACCAAATTTGAAAATTATGTATCTATGTTCCTAATTTTCCATAGGATAAAATTATGTAAAATTGGGTGAAGGAAAAAAAGAAAGATAAAGACCTTTGTGAAAATCCCGACGCCACATTCCATGGCGACCTTAGCCATGAACAAATCGTCCGCCAGAAGCCGCTCTTTAAATCCGCCGAACTGCAGCAACCACCGCCACACCGCCGACTTCTCCAACTCCAGAAACCTCTCCACGATCACCGCCGGCACTCTCCCGCTCTCAATCGCCGCCGCCAGATCCTTCGGCAGGCTCTCCACCGACCTCCCCCCCTCCGCCAGCACCACAATCGCCTCCGCCTTGTTGCGCTCCCGATCCTCCTCGCCATCTCCATGTCCGCCGCCGCCGCCGCCTACGCCACCGCCGCCGTCGCCGGGAGGAATTCCGTCGTTATAGGCGAATGCGACGGAGCTTACGCGGCGGCGGCGGGGGGGAGAGAATGCGGTGGAGAGGGAGTGGAGGCGGAGAGAGGGAGCGGCGGTGAGGATGTAGGCGAATTGCGGCGGCGGAGAGGAGCGGAGAAAGGGAGGCGGAGCGGAGAGATTGGTGAAATTTCTGATCGCCATTTTTGGAGGGAGAGAGCGGTTTCTGGCTCCCTGTTATTTCACAATCTCATCTACACTGAATTTGGTGTGGCTGAGAAACTGCTGAAATAAACACACTAATCAAATGTGTGTAGCCCATTAGAATACTTTAAACCATACCATATCAAACCGTTTTTTTTAATTATAATAATTAAAAAAATCAACGCTCTTAAAAGTTGAATAACTCAACTTATAATGATATAAAAAAAAAAAAGAACTACGCTTATAATTTTCTATCTCATCCGCCAATAAAATGGTTAAAAATTTGAATCTTCAATTTCACGTATTGTTAAATTGAATTTTCTTTTCAACTTATTAAAGTGATTGAGACATAAATACGGTTTGTATTCATATTATAAATGATAAGGATATATGATAAAAATTAAAAAGCATGTTTAAAAGAGATAAAAAGAGAGATTTTTTTTAATACTTTTTGTCAAAAAGTATGCGATAGGTAAGAGAAGTATTGCTCTTAAGTTTAAAGTAGATAATAGGAAAACTATTTGCTTACACATGATTTAATGACCTTTTGAATTTGGCTTTTTTTAGTGGATCCATTCAACTATTAGATGCAATAAAAATGAATCAAAATAAGAATAAATTATACATTAGAAAGTTGAGAGGAGATTTCTAATAACGGGTGTGCATACATCTTCAGATAATATTTGACATTAAAATTATATTTGAAACTTGGTTGTGTATGAAATTATTTTAAGTCAAACCAAAGTAGTGAGCTTTGACAATTCGGACAAAAATATTTTCTTAGTTTGAGAGTTTAACCAATTTTTAGTATACAAGATGAAGACGGTGCAAGAAAAGAAACAATGTCGTACCTCATTAGTATTAAGGTAGATTGGTTGTTGTCCGACAATTAACCTAATTAGTATTTGAGTAAACATGTAATTTGAAATCATAAATTTTAGTTATCGTGTAATTCTAAAGTAAGGAATCTCGTTGAGACATTGTAGTAGACGTTCACAAAAACTTTCTAACGAATCTATAAGATTTTTTAAGTATTGACTAAACGTGAAGTTTGATACGATCTTTAAAATTGTAAAACATGTTTTTAATTATTCAAAAGTACTTTTTAAAATCAAATAATTATGGAACATGATAAGATAACATTTTAGATCAGTTTTGAGTGACTGAGGCCACACGTGTTTGTTCGACTAGATGAGATAAACATCATATAGTATTGTTAACTCTGCATAAAAAATAATGACCTTTTTTTTAGTATCATTGTAACCTTCACTCAAACTCTTCACATGAATGTGTGTACCCTTTTGAGATACCAATTTATGACAAGTAAGCGGCAATATTGTCTCAACGAGTTCCAATAGTGTTTTATTGTACCATACTTGCATCCTTATTTTGGTTAGTATTGCCCTCAAATGCACGTGTACATCTAGCCATTTTTTTCTTTTTTCTTTTCTAATGATCATATGTCGACGCACCTAGACATTATGGAAAGAAGATTCAAGACTATTTCTTTAGATGCCTCGAGTCCAAAATCATCGATTAACTTAGTAAGAAGCAATTCATAAACTTTTTAAAAAGGGTAGCATACTTTTACACCTTGAAAATATATGTTGGTAGACGTCTTCATCTTCTACAATCATGAAATTAATTTTAGGTAGGTGGCCGTCATGGAATTTGAAGGGAATGTTAATTTACTCTAGTTTCTTTGGACCAATGAGTCACTTGTACTAGTTGGCAAACCTAAATATATAGACAGGCAGACTCTCCGTCCTATGGCTTAGCTATGAAGTTTGGTTGATTTGACTATTCACGTCAGTTTTGAGTGATTGAGGCCACACACGTGTATGTTAGATGAGGTAATAATCACATGGTTGTATTATACACTTGTCTTTAACATAAAAAATAATGACTTTTTTTTTTCAATTTAAGGAATTTATATGCCAAATAAATAATAATGAAATATCTCTCTTTCTAATTATTTCTCATTTAATAAAATTATCCTAGTGATATTGAGAGAATGAGACATCCATTTGTTTTTTCCTTAAAAATCTGAATTATTGAGGAGAATTCATTGGAGTGTGGTCTTAAATTGATATTTCCACCACATAAATATTTATAATGATATATAACTTATATGAAATTGATTGAATTTAGGTATTATCCTGTTTTAGCCCACCTAGACATAAATTAACTATATATATATTTAGAATTATATGTTCAAATCTCCCTCTTGGTTTTAATTTGAATAATAACGTGGTTTATTTTATTTGAATAATAATATACTTTTATTTCTCATTGTTTAAAATTTTAATCTCAAAATAAAAATGAAAGTAGAATCATGTTTCAAACTAATTTTCATATTCTCAACCAATAACATATTTTTTTAAGAAATATAAGTACAACTACGATGCTTCATCTCGCTATCCAGTTTTTTCTACTATTTTTGTCACGTTGTACTAAATTAAACTTTTATTCATTCAGTAGACAAGTCATATTTTATTAACCATGTAAAATCAAATATTAAGGGATCAAATTTATAAGTTAATCCAGAAATATAATTTTAACAATATTACATCGTTACCAATAGATTCGAACCTTCTTCTTATTACTATTTTTCATTACAATGAAAAATGTGTGGAGTGATAAACATTCGACTTCATAAAAGATAATCATTACTTAGTTGTGTTGAATTAGCAATTGTTAACGTATAAAGAGAGGCATTAATCATTAATTACTGGTCGGGGGGAATTTATATTAAAAATATTTATTAATGCATTATTTTTCTAAAGTATATATTTTTTGCTCTTGAAAGAAAATAATTGATTGCAACCAAAAGAAAAAGAAAGGCAAAATTAATGACCACAAAAATTCTAAAGAAATTGTCCCGATTTCCCCTTCTTATCATCTCCACATTTTATGGATAGAGAGCTCCAAATCCCGACTTTCATTAGGTAGGAGAAAGCGCGAAAGCTCACTCTCCATCTATGGCGACCTGCACTTCCACTTCTCCTTCTTCCCTCATGCTCACTTCTGCTTCTTCTTCCGTACACCCCCAAGACCTCGCTTCCTCCATCGTCTCCTTCAAGGGGAAACCTCAATTTTCCACCATCAAAGCCTTCTCCTCCGCCCATTTCCTCTGCAGACCGAGGAGATCCACCGATTGGATCTTCCTTCATTTCCAGCGGCGAGCGAGGCACCATGTGATCGTCGCTGCTCTCGCTGCCGAG